TTTCTTTTATCATATCCATGTATGTTTCCATATCTATACCTTCTTCTAGATTATTATGTTGATACGTTAATAATCTTCCCTTAAAAGCAACCTGAACTAAAACAAAATCTTGCTCTGGATTATGTCTTGCTTTATGCAACTGTATTCGACTTTCCTTAATATATTTTCCACATTTATCACACTTGATCTTTTTTACTCTTTCTTTTTTCGGTTTAGAAAATATGGCATCATTAAACGTAAATATTTCCAAGCTGTTTTTGTTTCCTCTTTTTATTTTTAATTGCTCTTCAGCATTAATAATCTCGTTTATCAATTCTGACTTGTATCTTTTAATGTATCTTATACCTAAGGATTTTGTCATATTACGTAATTCGAGCAAACGACGACTATTCAAATCATGTTTTAATTTATGCAAATGTATTCGAGTTTCCTCGATATATGTTCCACACATATCACATTTTATCTTCTTTACTCTATTTTTTTTTTTCATCAAACTGAAATGTTTTTAGGTTCTTTTTGTTTTCTTTCTCTTTATGTGGCTGCATTCGTGTGCTTTTGATATATTTTCCACATATGTCACACTTGATTTTCTTATCTCTCTTTTTCCTTGGTTTAGCAAATAAATCATCATCAAATGACAATATTTCTGAATTCGCTTCGCCCATAAGGGATTTGTCCGAATTCCGCAAAGGAGGCACAATTGATTTTTTTCCGTTTKTTATTTCCTTATGTAATTGCTCTTCAGCTTTAATAATAGCTTTTATTAAGTCTGCTTTATTATATTTTGTAACATATTTGATGTCTAATGATTTTGCAATATTAAACAGCTCAGATAAACGACGAAAAAAATCTAACAAACAATTTTTAGTAAATAAATAAATTCAATCCATTTTTATGCAAATCTGTGTTTATATGCCTTTTAAAATTAGTTCTAGTGTAATATCTACCACAATCACAAAATAAACTAGTAGAATTAGCTGCTTTTTTACATTGTTTACATGTTTTTTCATATTTATTTCTATAGCTATAAAAATCATCTGGACATTTTAATTCCAAACAAATGGAGCAAAGACTTGTCATTTATTAGAAAATTTATTTATCAAAGACTTCAAGATTAGGAAAGTGTATTTTAAGAAAATCTAGTTTGCCAAGGTTAATACGTTATTTTGCCGGAATTAATATTTTTATAATTTAAACATAAGAAACGATAAAATAAGACGTTTTAAAAACAAAGTACCTAAGTGAAGAGCCCTTAGTCACTTAAAAAGAATTAAAGAATTGCAGTAAACACTGGCGTCCAAAGTATGCAACTTACCATACAGTGTTAAATGTTAAACTTGAAATAACAGAAGACAAATGCAAAAAATCAAATGCAAAAAATGAAATGATTTAAAAAATAATAGCAAGGCCCTGTTAATTAAAAAACAAAATAAGCAAGAAACATGAAAGTATCAAAAAGACTAACCAAGATGTTCAAAAGAAATGATATAAATACAAAATCTGAAAATTAAACTGTATGTTAAAAATCAAAATATTTTACTAACACTAGGCTTAAAGTCTGTTTCATTTATGAAACAATTGTCAGATGAAAAATTTTGAACTTATTATAATGAATTTTGTTATATTTTCATAACAGCGAAAGTCAGACAATTAACTTTAAATGAAGTTGCCAAAGTTAAAATAATTTGATAGTTGTTTATTGAAAAAATTTGATGTAAACCTATGTAATATTATTACAAATTAATGCAAAATGCAAAATAAATCATAAAAATTTAAGAGAAGACGCTTCAACATCTACAACATCTTGATTTTATTTCATTAAAATATATTTATAATGCTTGTTTTAAACCATCAATGTTTTTAAAATGTGTATTATAATTTATTTTGACAAGATATGCTGAAGAAGCCTTGAAGGCGAAACTGGCCTTTTCTCCATCTAGTCTGGAAATATGTTTTTCCTGTTAAAACAATCTAATTTGCGCCACCCTGTACATACGTACATACTTAATGTCAAAAAATTAAGCAAAATGTTTGTACACATTTTGCATTAATTTGAGATAATATGACATAGGTCTACAGCAATTTTTTTTACAATGAACAACCTTCAAATTATCTTAACTTTGGTAAATTAATTGTCTGGCTTTCGTTTCTATGGAAATATAGCAAGGTTATTCATAACAAGTTCAAAATTTTTGATCTGACAATTGTTTAAGACTTTAACTTTAGTGTTAGTAAAATTTTTGATTTCTTACATACAGTTTAATTTTTAGATTTTGTATTTGTATAATTTGTTTTAAACATTTTGATTAATCTTTTTGATATTTTTATGTTTCTTGTTGTTTTTTTGTTTTTTAATTTACAGGAACAGGGCTATTGTTTTAATTTCTCTTATTTTTTGCTTTTTTCTCCTATTATTTAAAGTTTAACATTTAGAAGTGTATGGTAAGTTGCATACTTTGGACACCGCTTATTAATTTTTACTTGTCAAGTGACTAAGGGCTTTTTACTTATGAAATCGCGCAATGTGCAAATCCAGAATCGATTTCGAAACTTATAGGAACATTATTTATGGTCAAATTAATATACATTGGTTCGACATTACCGCTAATGTTAAAATTATTTAAATGAAAAATTGTGTCTTCCTCCACCTGATCGGTCCCGAGAGTACTGGCCTCTTCCAAAAAATGTTGTCGAATTTTCTTATAACACACCGGAGGTAAATGCCCTTTTACACCACACTTATGGCACGTATAATTACGAAACTTGCACTGAATCGATTTATGATTTTTACGGCCATAGACACTACACTGTTTCTGCACAAAATTTCCTCTTCCAGGAGACAATGCCACAGACGTAGATGGTGGAGCTGCCGACGAATATGCACCAGCTTGCTTAAATACTCCACTTCTATTTTTCTTTATGGAACTGGATGTCCTCTCYGAATTTCGATGATAATACACATTTTCATCCATTTCACGGCCTTTTGACATGTCGGAACGTTCCATCACCGCGGCCTCCTTGGCTTGAGCAATCTTTACCATTTTAAAAAAATTGTTTACACCATTGGTGGGGTCTTCTTCAAAGAGTCGGTCCATAMTTTTTACATCACCTAATCCCAAAACAAAAATATCCCGCATTACAACATCAAGTTCCTCGCCAAACCCACACGAAGCTGCTAGACTTTTCACGCGTGCACTCCACGTCGCTACATTTTCTTGTGGTGACTTTTTTGCGGTATAAAACTTTAGCCTTTGTGAAAAATACGATTTCACCGGTTTAAAATGGTTAGAAATGGTTTTAATTAACTGAGAGTACGTTTTTTCCGTTGGTGCTTCTGGAAAACAGATGTCTCTCTCGTACCAAGAGATAAGTTTCTTCATCGAGCGCATTGATAAGGATAGCTTTTTTCCGGTCCACTTCGTTAATATTGTTTCCAATAAAAAACTGTTCCAAACGATCCTTGAAAATCTCAAAATTGGATGTCGAATTGTTAAACGGGGGCGCTCCAGAAGTTACAAAAGCCATGGCTTTTTCCCGACTGTGTTACACTTTTTCACACTGCCCAAAAAAAAAACAAAACAAAACTATCTTCGCGAGTTCGTTATTACAAAATTCTAGTCACCATTGTTGTGTACTTGCGTTGGGATAGGTGTAAAAGAATAATCTGATTCCCTTAAATAAAATGCCTTTATTCTAGCAAGGTCTAGGCCCGACTGACTTCAGCGGACAAGGACGCACAAAAACAAAAAACAGTTAAACTGCTGATACACAGCACTTACTTACAAGAGTGAAATCACAAGTTGCTCACTTTTTCAGTCAAGTGAGAACGATGACCATCAACGAAAAAACTACCGGTTAGGTAATACTATTCATTTAAAGGTAGGGCATAAAATGATTGGCAATATATTCATAGAAGACTTCTCAGTTTATCCAGCCCGATTCAGACTTGCCAAGTCCCTAATTATCTAGTACTGATTCAGCTACAGTTTTATGCATTTTCTTATATGTAAATATCTATAATCAGGTACCGTTCTCGCGTCTGCAAAAAATGTCGTTAATACTGTTATTTGTTTTTTCTCCTGACCCACTCGTTCATAAAAATCCTTTATGTTTTTTGTAGGACTAAGAACCTTCCCGTTTTTAGGGCCAACACTAAAAATCAATTCACCACCATTTCACTACCATCTTGCAACACATTATATTCAACCTGATAGTGTATAATTATTAAGTATTCATATTGTCAAAGACGACTGATTATGTATATTTTAAGTTGTATGCCCTAAAGACACTGATGGCTGATAAGAAATATTGTTAAGTTGAATTTTAAAACATTGAGACTGATTTATAATATTGTGGAGCGTTGCCATAATTATTCTTTAAATTATTAAATTATTAATGAAATTATTATCATTATTATTAAATTATTCTTAAAGTTGAAATAAATAATAAATTAAGCATGCCAGAATATGATTTTGCATTATTTGCATGTGTTTCAACTGACCCCAATCACTGTTTCAACCGCCCCTAGTATTGGGACGATTGAAACAAATCGGAATGTCATAAAAAAAAATAAAACACCGGGTCCTCAAATAGTATTGCCCATCATAAAATAAAAACACGTTCTAGTATTTAACCCCTTAAGGATCCATTTTTTTATCCATATGTTGTGCAAAAATATCATCAATTTTTTTTCTGTAGATATTTAACTAAAATATAAATTTAATAACATATATATTTGGATGATACAATGTAACTTTTTGCATCATTTTTATTACATTAAGAATTTTTTTGGTTTAGTATTATGTCATATATGAGACTATCATCATTATTTTATATACTTATAAATACTTTTTTTGATCAAGTCGTGTTTAGGTAATATCTGAGTTCTAATTTCATTAAAAAAATCAAATAATAAAATCTTATCTATTTCTATAATAAGTACAATGTAAACAAAATGGAAAAATGAAACACATAACTAATAACATTGCCAAAATAAAAAACTAGTAATTTTGTTGGGTCTGATAGAGCATAAAGCAAGGCACAGCACATAAACCAACGTCACATGATCGACAATAAAATCTTGTTTCCTTTCTTCTTTTCTTCCCATTTGCGTCCCTTTTCTTGCAACACACAGCACAATATCTGCATGGAGCTGCTTTTTTCTCTGTCGGTGGGACATACTCAGGAAAGTGGCGTTCCACTTCAAGTCAAATTCTGACAAATTCTCCTTTGGAAACAATGGCTTGATAGTTCGTTTCTTAGTAACGCTAACCCGGCAAATTTAAATTTCGATTTTTCGAGGGTCGTTTTCGCCCAAATAGAGTTAATTGGAGAATCAACAAAATTATCGATAAGATAACCCTCTTCAAGCACTACAAGCTCCATCAATCAGATTTCGATTTCGGTTACTCCTGCAGTCGGAAAAAAATAAAAACTAATTTTCCATGTTAATTTCTTATATCCAAGCCTGCCTGGGACACCCGGTATAATGCATGAAAACAAATACCCAGAACTTGATTCGCAAAGTAAATAAAATTTTATTCCAAGACGGGCTCTTTTTAGAGGAATATACTGCTTCCACCCAAGGCGTCCTTTATACAACATGAGATTTTCATCTATAGTGACATCGCGTTCAGGTATATAAAATTGGGAAAATTTTCCATTCAAAACATCAAAAACTGGCCAAATTTTGTTGAGTTTGGAATTTGGATGATCTTGCAGATTGTAAGTTTCATTATTATAGAAGTACAGATTTTTTTATTTATGAAAAACGGCGAAATGTCAATAGCTTTCCGAAAATTGGTGTTTGCAACAACACATTTTTAGCCCAATACCACTTCTCAACTGGTTTTCTCACTATTCCCTGTAATATCACAGGGTGTTTCACGTATCTTTACGAAGTCTGCGCCGGTAAAATGCAACCAGTAATATATTTTACAGTACGGACTCGATAAAAAAAAATTCTATCGCTTTCTGTAGTTTATACACCCCTTGAATAAATGACAGTGATCAATTGCCAACATTCTTGTTAGTGTTCAATTTTTTAATATCTGTAATCGATTTGGAACAAAAGTTCAGAAAATAAGATGGAATAAATTGATAGTACACAAACAAAATAATGTTATTATTAAAGAAAATGCAAAATTTGTAACTGAATAAAATAAAACTACTTAAATAAATTAAAGTTTGGGAGCAAATAATTAAACTTATTTAACCCAACAAATGTTCAAAATGTCGGCCCCCATTTTCGAGGCAAATTTGGATGCGTCTGATAAAAGATCTACGAACTCTTAGTAAGGTTTCTGGCGTAAGTTCTCTAGACGCAACACGGATTCTCTCTTTCAACGCCTCCATATCTTGAAAGGGTCTTTCGTAGACTTTATTCTTCAAAGTTCCCCATAAGAAAAAATCTAGTGGCCTAGTAAGGTCGGGACTCCGAAGTGGCCATGCATTAACGCTGCCCCGTCCTCTCCATTGTTGCCCAAATTGGTTATCCAAATATTCTCGTACATTTCGGGCGTAATGAGGGGGAGCTCCATCCTGCTGAAACCACATTGATCTTCTAATTTCTAATGGAACTTCTTCCAACAAAATTGGCAAAACATTCTGTAAAAAATTCAAATATCCATTCCCAGTTAACTTGTTTTCGAAAAAATGAGGACCCACAACATAATCATCTATTATGCCACACCACACATTAATTGATATCACTTGCTGGAAGTGACTTTGTCTTATCCACCGTGGATTTTCTAATGAGTAGTAGTGACAGTTATGGGGGTTAACTGCTCCGTTATTACAAAATTTTGCCTCACCGTTAAACAATACACATTTCAAAAAATTTTCGTCTAGGGCTGTCTTATTTCGTATAAAATTACAAAATTCCATCCGCCGAGCAAAATCATTTTCCTTTAATCCTTGCACTAACGTCCAATGGTACGGATGAAATTTATTTTCTTTAATAATTCGACATACTGAAGAAAGACTGATACCGGTTTGCCGAGATATTTGCCGTTGGCTGACATGAGGATTGTCTTCTATCATCTCGATGACTTGAGCTTCATTTTCGACATTGGTTGCTGGCCTGAATTTGTGTCTTTTCTGTTTTGGCCAATTTTCTCTCAGTTCTCTTTCCAAGTATTGGAAATTGGCAGTTGGATGTCGACGGCGAGGATAAGGCTGTTGGTAAGTAGCTTGAACGGCATTTTTTATAAATGACAATGTCAAATTGAATAAATAATAAATAATCTAAAAGTGGGCACAGCACTCTAGAAATTGTAATTAGTGGCGCGTTTGGCGACATCTGGTTTCTGAATGTCGCACATTTATTTAACAATATTCAAACTATGATAAAAACTAAAGTCTCGATTGCAACTCGAGCAAATGTTAGTAAAATGTTCACATTAAATGGATGCTCGTGTCACACGGGTATGCGCAAATTTGTCAGTAACCGCTGCCCGTGTGTGACACGGGTATGGATCTTAAGGGGTTAATACATTTACATCAACCCTCAGTTTATTAATGGCAATGCGATGGACGATATAAGCAAAATTGTTTCAACCGTTCTACTGTACATTTTGTACGTTTAAGTATAACATCTGATACAATTTTCGAATCTTTATAAATGCTCTTTTGAATCTCAATTATTCGTTTTGCTTGGAACGTTGTGCAGTCCTCACTTTAAATTGAAATATTTTCGAAACGGCTCATCTTATTGCTATAAAAAAATAAAATTTATTGCTCTATCGATTTGATCAATAAAAAAATAGTGGTAAGCAAAAAAAAATAGAAAAACACAGAAGAAGTGACCTGCAACTGCCACAACCGGAAATTGAGTAGGTGCACCCGGTTTTTGTGATTACCAGTTTATAAGGTATGTTTTCGCAAGTAACTGTTTCAACATTTTTATATTATTTGTTCAAATGGTTCCAAAGTTATTACAAAAGAAAAAAAAAACAAATTTCCATACCCACGTTCCGAGGGTTGTACAATTCTGATCAGTAGAGATAGGTCACGAGTTTTTATTTAAATTAACATCATTTTATAGGTCATTTTTGAGGTTCAAATATTGCTTCATATTTATGAATAACCCTGTATATAAATAAAAGAGAACGGAGGGAGTGAGAATTTTATTGGGCGGAGATTTTTAAACTATAAAACGCGTGTTGTCTTCAAGATGTTTTGCATATTGTCACGCAGCAGTATTTTGCAATGCGGTTGCTGTGATTGCAGGGTTACTGACTTTGCAGTTTCGGCAATTGTGTTCAAAGTACGAACAAACTGGAACACACACAGAGAGGACGAGTTAGTAGTCAGTCAGTAACTCTGCAATCGCAGCAACCGCATTGCAAAATATTGCTGCGTGACAATATATTATATAGGGTAAGATGCGACAGTGGTAGCGCCGAGCGCCACCTGTCAAGCGTGTGGGGAATCGAGACTTTCATACACCGGGGACTGGGAATTTGCAAAGCAAATCTCCCAAAGTGCCCACCGATAGAGAGATATACAGGGTATTTCACGAGTGATAATGAGCCTGACCAAATTTGAACTGCAACCAAAAATACATCTGCATAGGCTTCGTGGATTCTGATTACGAATTTTAAAATTTATAAAACATAGTTATCGCGTGACTGACACAAAGAAATTGACAAGGCAGGAACACACTATTTTTCACCTGAAAAATACCTGTGTAACCTTATTTGAATTAAATCTTGTCAGTCTTGTTGGAAAACGGCACTCCCATCATTGGAAAATATTTTAATTCAATAAAAATTGGAACAAAACGAAGGTTTTTAGAAAAATGTTTGTTCAATTAATGTAATAAATGTTCAAACTGCTATCTTCCGCTTCTTTCACAACCTCGAATCCGTGTCTTAAACGATCTCTTCACACGCGTTAACATTTCTGGAGTGATAGATCTGCATCTTGTATTCTATTTTGCAAATGTTCTACATTATCAATTGGCGTTCGATATACTTACTCTTTACCATTCCCAACAGAAAAAAATCTAACGGCGGAAGGTCTGGGCATCTCGGTTGCCCAGGATTAATAGAACATCTACCGATCCATCGGTTAGGTAAAACAAAATCAAGGTAATTCCGCACGATTCTATTGTAGTGAGCCGGAGCACCGTCCTGTTGAAACCATAAATCTCGTCTTACTTGTAGATTTACATCTTGAAGCAGCAGTGGTAACGATTCTCTTCGAAAGTTTAAATAAGTATTTCCGTTTACTCTATGTGGGAAAAAATAAGGCCCAATAACTTGATTTCCCAATATTCCGATGGATGGTTTGAAAATGTCCTTCTCGAATCCAACGAGGGTTTTCTTGGGAATAGTAATGCATGTTATGTCTGTTAACTGCACCATTATTAGAAAATGTAGCTTACACAAAATTACAAAAGTCTCCAGCCTTTTAGGATAATCTGTGTCTTTTAGCGATTAAACCAATAATAATTGTATGTGATATGGATGGAATCTATTAATTATTCGGTGCACTGAAGACAGACTAATTCCGGTTGTTTTTGAAATCATCTTTTGACTAATATGATGATTTTGATCTATCATTGTCAACACTATAATTTCATTTTCGGGACCTGTGCCTCTCCTTTCTCTTGGTTTTTTTAAAGGCGGCCAATTTTCTCTTAAGGTAGATTCAAGCCTTTTGAAAATGGTGTCAGCAGGAAATCTTCTACCTGGGAAACGTTATCTGTACAAACGCTGAGCGGCCGACGCATTTTTCTCACATCCCCATAAATGAGAATTACATCTGTCTTTTCATCGTTCGAATACATTTTAACATTTGATTTTAACCTTTTTGTTAAATTTAGTGTCAGTTGTAAGAAATAAAATTATTGATGGCAAAGCTATCGTGGATTCATAACTAGTTTTTCAAACAATTGATATCTAGAATATCCACTTTAACTTTGCAAATGTATTGTGGGTTGTATTTTCGATTCCGTCAGGCTCTTTATCACTCGTGAAATACCCTGTATTTATGAATAACCCTATACTACAAAATAGAAAATAAACATAAATGTTATTAAACTAGGTAAACTCATTGGTTTCTTCAGACTCAAATATTATTTCTAAACCACAGTTAGAAATCACATTTTTATTAATTATATTTATTGGTTTCCACTTTTTAATTGACCCAACAAACCTTACAGATTGTTTCACGTATTAAATAGAAGAACATGTAGAAATTTGCAACCGATTTCTTAGTCTGTTTTTCATCAATGTTAACTGGGAAAAGATTTGTTCAGCTGCTGCATATGAATGTGGCAAACTTAAGAATACTTTAACAAGTTAGGAAACATAGGTTGATGTAATCCATTTTTGCAGTTTGCTATCTTTTTACAAAAAGCAGTTTCATTATTATCATTTTAAATGATTTTAAAATTTTTAAATCAAGATAGTTCCCAAAGCATTTGCCATTCAACATTTACAAGTTCGAAATCTAGTTTTGAATACGGAAATAATTCTTTCCACTCTGCAATAGACATTACTTTTCCTGATGTAGCTACAGAAGAAGTGAAATTTGTCGCAAATTTTAAATATAACTCGTTGAAGTCGAATCTACCCTACGCTAATTACGTTGTTAATTTTAATTATTTTTTGCAACCTGGGGTGTATATTTATTTGAAAAAATATTTTTTAGGGAAGAATGAAGTTAAAAT